TGCGGCTGTGCCCCGGCAGCCGGTGTCCCCTTCTTCCACGTGCCCCCGCCAGTCCCACGCCCGTCTCCCCGCAGGTTGTGGTCTCCCGCGGAGCAGACTTCCCACTGTTCCCTTCTGCGCTCGAGCTGGCGAAGGCTCTGGACCCAGACCCATCCGCTCCCCGGGGACTGCTTCGGCCGACACCGCGTCTTGTCAGAATAACTGCCTTTTTTCAGCTCCCGGGGCGGCGTGGGTGGAAGGTGTGGGGGCTCCGAGGCCGGCTGCCCCTCGCCGGCTGGGTGCCATTGGGGGAGGGGGCGGAACCTCCTGGGCCTCAGGCCCCGTCGGTACCACGGGAGCCCAGCCCGGCACCGCGGGGAACAGTCCACCTGTGGCAGGTTCCTGAGCACGGGCGGGGGTGGGGGTGGCAGGGGGAGCGTCCTGCTCTATGGATGGCACTGTCGGCATAAGAAACATCTAGATCTGTAGAGAGTGGCATGAGCTTCTTTGAGCCAAACTGGCGATAGCGCCAGGAAGCAAAAGTCTTAGCAGATCCAGAGGAGGGCCGCCTCAGCTTCTTTTGTACACTTGAGACTCAACGCAGGAGGCATCAGGGGGTGTAGGTGGAAGTCCATCAGCGGCAGGTGCAGGGGCGGGAGGAAGTAGCGCGGGTGGGGGCGATCTCTGGGACTAGATCGCAGGCAACCCCGAGGACACCCCCTCTCTGCGCTGGTGTGCAGGCGAGCAGGAGAGCAGGCGAGCAGCGTCAGCAAATGGAGATGGTATTCAGGAGACAAGAGAGCAGTGAGGGGTTCTGTGGCCTCGCGCTCTGGTGCCGGAGGCTGTGCCCTGAGCGGCCGGGAGAAGAAGAGTACTCTGACATTTTTTTACAGGTACGTTATCTTAGGCGCACAAAGCCGATTTCACAGGGAAAAGCCGGCCTTGGTCAAGGAAGCGACATGCCTAGGGTGAGCGTGCTTGCTTCTGGTTAGGGGCTCTGTGGTCAGACCATCCTCCCTGGTGGCCTTGGTCTCTGAGTGCATAGGGCCCACCACGCTGGCCTCCCCGAGCTCGTCAGGTTAGCCCGTGGCCCCTTCTCCACCTCGCACGCACGAGGAGGAGGAATAGTCGAGTTTCAGTGAGCACCAAACCCACGGATTCCTGAAATCCGGGAGAGCAAATTGGTCCCCCCGCCCCGCCCACGCTGATCCCTGCTGACCTGGTGCCCACTGCAAGGCCCCCTTTGGTTTGCTGCCATTTCGATGCATCTTTCATTGGCTTCGTGGTACCCCCACGGAGAGTCTCTCCTAGAGCTCGGGGCTTGGTGCTCCCATTGGGTCCTCACACCAAGACCCGAAAGATGCCAGCGAGCGCCTCACGCTCTTGGAGGGGGGCCAGTGAGCCACCCTCCGTGCTGGTCCCCGGGAGCAGGCCGCCTGGGCCCTAAGGGCCAGCCATGGTGACAGAAAACATGTCCGTGCTCCGTGGAAGGCTGTGTCTGTCCGTTGCTAAAACCCAGCCGTGGACCATAATTCTTCTTGAACGGCTGTGGGGAGAGGGCTCTTAAGTCCCAAAGCCCCGAGGGGCTGTCCCTCTCCCGCCCCTGGCGTCAGGGTGCACCTTCCCCCGGGTGACTGCCCCTGCTCTGGCGAATCTCCACGCCTGTCCTCAGAGTTCACGAGCTCAGCCCGGGGAGGAAGCGGGGGGTCCAGGAGACAGGGCACTCGGGATGGGGGGCCTCGCGGGTGTGCCGCCCTCTGACCGCGCCCTCTGCCCCTGTTTCCTGCAGGAGCGGGAGGAACAGCCATCTCCTCGCAGCCCATCTGACCCCCCTGTGCCCGGCCCCCTGGCCCAGGCTGAGCAGCGCGAGCAGCGCCCAGGTAAGGACGCGCGAACGGGTCGGGGGCCTGTCGCCAGACGCCAGCGTCACCAGGATGCTGGGGCTTGGTGTTCTGAGAAACGGCTCTTCTTGCGAATACAAGGAGATGCTCACCTTTCCCCCCGGGAGGGAACAGCCCTCAGCAGGAGAGGCGTGCGTGGCTGCGGCCTCTTCATGGAGTGCCCTTTGGCGAACTGGGTCCCGGGATTGCCACCCCCCTCCCCGAGAGGCCACTGGCTCCTGGTCCTGGCTGGCTGTGTCTGCGCCCGGCCCGCGTCTGCCTGTGTCCCCTCTGCCGTTCGGTGGTTCCTTCTGTTCCTTCCAGCTCATTCCTGCTGGGGTCCTGGGGGAGGAACGAGGGACACGGACAGGGTCAAGGGGTGGGGCATTGGGACTGTCGGCTGCCGACTCTGACGGGGACCGGAGCCCGAGGAGGGAGCGGCAGACCCGAGCTGAGACGGAACAGGAGGATGAGGACGGCTGGGTGTTCGAACAGTTGGCGAGTTTAAGGGCAAAGAATGGAAGGATTGGGACTGGTGGGATGAGAATCAGATTTTTAAAAATATATTGTTATTGATTTCGGAGAGGAAGGGTGAGGGGGAGAGAGAGAAACATCCATGGGCTGCCTCCTGCACGCCTCCCTCTGGGGACCGAGCCCACAGCCCAGGCCTGTGCCCTGACCGGGAATTGAACTGAGCCTGGTTCGTAGGTCGACGCTCAACCACTGAGCCGCGCCGGGCAGGCGAGAAGAGTTAGGTTTTTAAATGGCTTAATGAGAAAGAGGGTGGCACTCGGCAGACCCGGGAGCTGGAGCTGTCCAGGCCTCAGGGGTTCGCCCAGGTGCTGGGGAGCGCGCCCTCGTCAAAGCGCTCGGGGTTCCGGCCGCGCGGCGTGGGGGTCACCCTCCAGGAGGGTTTCAAGTGAGTGATGTGAGGGAAACGGTCCCAGTTTGTTGCCATTGGCCTTGAAGCCGAGGAAATTCGTAATTCGTGGCATTTCACTGCTTACAAACGGTCTCGTTTAAACGAAAATCATCTAAGTGTCGGTGTTCGTGTTCGTGTGACATCTGTGTTCAGACTTTAACCACAAAGTTAGAGAAAACGATGCTGAATGGACTTCCCACGGCTTCTCCTCCGCGGCCTCTAGGTCGGACCTTCACAAAGCGCGGACGCCACGCCCTGGGGGCGGGGGAGCGGGTGGCACAGAGGAGGG